TTCTTTTCTCTTTACTGTTATCATACATATTTATACTTTATGCTTTACATAAACATATACATATACTTTACATATTGTCAAAGTGTCTAGTTCTGATGTTTGGTAATATTTATATTTAAAGGGATCCCCGGGTATTAAGACATGTATAGCTTAATATAACGTAAATGATGTCTCTTATTTAAATATATAGTAGAAACCCCATGAAAGATGTATGTTATTTTAAAAAATCGACATCGTTTTTGGACTATGGGGGTGCCATTATTTTATGTGCACAGTACATTCTGCGTCGAAGACGTCAAATGGTTGCACTCGGTGAGCTACCGGCGCTTATTTCTATAGTCTTTGGCTTTTTACCGCAACACAACTCAGAATACACAACTCAGAAAATAAAATACTGATACGATATCACATTGTGTGACTTTTGGTTGTAATTTTCAGTCGAAGGGCAACAAGAGAAGCAATGCAAGACTTCACAAGAAGAGGAGAAAATAATGGGAAGATGCCTGTGGACGAATAAAACTTCCTAAAGACCCGCTTCTTTTTTCACTCCACTTTAGTCCTTTAGTCCTGATGCCTTTGAGTCTTTTAGTAGACCACAGCTACTGAAAGAGCTTACAAACGGCTGTGAAACGCTAGGTCATCCTGTAAACATGCCGACACTAATCATGACGCGCGGCCGCTAGAGGAGTTTCTCGGCGCAGATTTTCCTCGAGATCCGGGGCGTTTAGACTCCATGTGGGGAAAAATCGATGGTACAGCATTTGGTTTAAGCCTATGCTTATCCATCTCCACCTGTAAGCTCTTTCAGTAGCTGTGGTCATCATAACAGTATTTTATTTTCCGAGTTGTCTATTCCGAGTTGGGTTGTGGTAAAATTAGCAACAGGTAGCGGCAGTAGCTCACCGAATGCAACCATTTTACGTCATCAGAATAACGGCGCCCCCCCATAGTCCAAAATATGTATAAAACGATGTGATTTTTAAAATAACACAAATCTTTAATGGGTCTTCTACTACATATTTCAGGAAGAGACATAATTTACGTTATATTAAGCCATACAAGTCGTAATACCCAGGGATCCCTTTAAAAGCGCGGTTCTTCGATTTAAAAAAAATAAAATCGTGGCAAAACATTAAATTTGAATTAATCTTCAAAATCTGAAAAATAGCTCAGCCCTTGTCACAGTCTTCAGCTGGTGTGCCCAGGATGGCCACCAGAGGACACTGTGTGTTTGTGAAAGCACATGGCTTGTGTTGTGTTTGTTTGGTGCCATGTGCTTTCTCCCATCTTGTTACCTCATTATTGTTTCAGTTATTCCACCTGTGTCTCCCTAGTTACCTTCCCTACTTATTCTCCTTGTGTTTGCAGTCTTGTGCTGTTTCGTCATTTGTTGTATGTGGTCTAATGTGTCTGTGTGCGCCTTGTTTAAGCCTGCTCTGTCTGTTCCTGTGTGGCCTTCCCTCGCCTTGCCGAGCTGTGCCCTGTTCGGGCCTTTCTGCCGGGTTTTCCCCCCTTGGGGTAGCTTTTGTTAGTTTTGTTCATTTTCTTTATTAATAAAGAGCCCAATTACTGCATCCTTGAGTCCTCGCCTCATCTCTCCACACGGACCGTGACAGAAACACTTTTTGCTTCAGCATCTGTAACTCTCAGAGTTTTCAAGCTAGAGTATTCAAACTTTTATACCGAGTAACCACATTTGTGTACTACAAAATGCACCCATTGAAACCTCTGCAAGAATATCACACCCCTTATAAGTTGATGTCAAATACATGGAGTGCCTTTGTTACAATCTACCCCACTGATGTAACACATACTGGGGTAAGTTGTAACAATTAGTCAAAAGATGAAAAAACAGAAGCCACACCATGCAATATGCTACAAAAACATGTTTACTGAAACAATCCAAAAGAAGAACCCATTACAATGTCTTTCTTTGTGACTGAACATAACTTAGCTCCACTGTCTGTCTAACTCATGAGTGTGAGCATGTGTGTGTAAATTAGTCTACTAGAACAAGCTTGCTTAACAACATTTATTTTTAATGAACACTCAACTCCAGTGTATTTGTGAAAAAACATGCAAGTCTACCAAAAAAAAAAAAAACAGTCATGTGTTCATGTTTGTGTATCTATGTCTGAATTCTCAATCAGAGTCACAATGGTTCAATGTTCATTTTATTTATAAAGCACATTTAAAACAACTTTAGTTTACCAAAGTGCTGTACATAAAGCATAAATCTGATTACAGCATTTAAAAAATGCACAGACCTAATCGCTGCATTAGTACTGCATAGGCTTAAACACAAGAGTATAGTCCATATAAGCTTAAAACAACCTAATCACCTATCATTAAAAGCATGGGAGAAAATATGTGTTTTTAACAGACATTTAAATTCAGACACTGTAGAAGCAGTTCTGATAGATAGAGACAAACAGAGAAGGCTCTATCTCCCCTAGATTTTAGTCTAGTTCTGGGAACCCACAACATATGTGTAGTCTGAGATCTGAGTAATTTGACAGGATTGTGAACAGTAAGCAACTCTGAAAGATATTGAGGAGCAAGACAATTTACAGCTTTGTACACACAAAGCAAAATTGTAAACTCAATACGGTACTGCAATGGTAACCAGTGCAGCGAGCATAAGATAGGTGTAATATGAACCCGTTTGCGACTGTCCGTGAGCAAACAGGCAGCCGCATTTTGAACCAACTGAAGTCGATGTATAGATGAGACCGGCAAGCCATAGTAAAGCGAGTTACATTAATTAATGGTGACAATAATCAATGGTGACAAATTAATTTTATTAATCCTGGAGTGCAGGCTTGGTGGGCCCAGAGACTGCATAGAGCACATTTTACCCACACTTCCTTTGGCTTTGAGTTGGAAAATGGCCCAATATAGACAACACATCGTCTGAGGTCATGTAGCCATTAGTCTCACGTAGCCAGACTTTCAGACTGATGGCTGAAGGTCTGGAATCCATGGCAGCTTTTATTGGCCAAGGTCTGCCCATGAGGCCGTTTGACCGACATGTCAAACAACCAATCACAGTTCTTTTTGTTCAGTGTCACGTCTCGTGGCATGGAAATGTCACAATAACAGGCCGGTGTTTAAAACTCTCAGACGTATTTTAATGATTCTATGCCTCGACCTTTGAATATTTCACATACTTTTGAAAATCCAGTGTTTATTTGATCCTGATAAGCACTCGTCGTCATCATCGTCACAGTTGTAAAGACGACGGCTTTCTTCTTCTGTGAGTGGGTTTGGAATCACAGCAGTTTCCAGGCAGAACGTTAAAAACTGCGACACACACATCTCGCGGAAATCCTGTATAATTTAACCAATCCGATGACAACTTCAAAACTCCTGAAGTGTTTCCACTTTTGTGTGCCATATGCACCAGACGTTCAGCCAGCATGATGTCTGAGGCTGAGACTATGTAGCCATAGCCTAACCACAAGGTCTACACTTCAGCATAATGGTAACCTCAAAAATCGACATAACCTAAACTCTTTTAAATGTCAAATATAACTGAACAACAAACTTTAATAGGTCTTTCCCTTTACTAAAAAACACATCAAACAGCACTTAATTTCAACATTTACTCTCCTGATCTATCCCTATGCAAAGCATGATGGGAACTAGAAATCCACTGCCCAGTTTCAGTCAATGCAACGTAAATGATTCATGTAGCCCCAACACAAATGGTTTAAGTTAACTTAACATTTTACAAATGTAATTTAATTGAATGTAATACCATTTTGTGCAAATGACAACTGAGTAAAAAAAAAAACGAAAGATTTGTGTTGTGTTAGCTTTTTTAATTTAAGTAAACTGAGCAAACTACTAAAAAAAATGTTTTGAGTGTGGGGACATAATAATACATTTAAATTATGCATATACATATTCTAGTGAAGCTTAAAAGGAATTACCAAAATAAAGATTTCATTTTCACAGCTATATTTCTCTGTAAGCTGATTTGAGGCATCATTTAAAGCACTATATAAATAAACTGAGTTGATTTGATAGAATGCTTCCTTTGCAACTGATCTGACTGACTTTCTGTTCTTTGTGACCTCATCAGACACCCTTTTTAACACACTGGCATGCACACCTCTCTGTGTTTTTCTTTTCCACTGTCTAGGCAATCTGTAAAATTGTAAAAATAAAAATAAAATCATAGTTTTATATAAGGGGACGGTTGTAACACTTTTTAAAGATGTGTTACAACCCACCCCACCCCTGTCAGTCATTGTTTAGCTAGCTGTATTAGCTTAATTGTTTGAAATTAGAAGGGGGGAAATGCATCATGCATCATGTGAATCCTATCTTATCCCTGATTGGTGTAACTGGGGGTGTTACAACTCTCCCCGTGTTACAACCATACCCGGTCTCCCCTACCGAACCTTCACTGCTTTAAGAACAAACAATATTTCATTTAGCAGAGGCACATAATGTTGGTGCTCACTGGTTCACATTTAACCAGTCATTTCTAATCTAAAGACATGATTAATACATGAAACTCAATATAAGAGAGAGAGAAGTAGCCGCAACAACATACAGAGATCCTTAAAACACAAATAAGCAAATTAAAAAAACTAAAATCACACTCTTCATTTATATTATTTCATGATAAAATAGACGGAAAACAGTATAAATGTATATCTAATGATGAGTACATGCCTTTTGACCCCTCACAAAATTCAATTAACAGATTAATGTCTCATAATTCTGAAATGAGTAAATAACACAAGACATGTTGACAGAGTTTGTAAACACAAAACATACATCAACAGCGATTATGGGGCTCTAAAAAATTAAGCAAACAAACCCACAGGAATCGCACTGATGCATCAACAGAAATGCATCCACCTGATGGAAAACAGACCCTCAAAAGAACAAATTAGACAGTTTACAGCTCAATTACAGTTTACTGCAGAATATATTTGTACAAACATCTGAACAAAATATTTCTGCCTTGGTGTGACTGCCTGCTGACTGTAAAATGATTACTTTACAAAGTGCTGAATGAAAATGAAGTTAAAGGAAGTGAACACACAAGCTCTTGTTTTCTTACATGAAAGGTCTGTGTATCTTTCACTCTTAATATCTGCTGCAGATGAAGTTGAGTTTGTCAGTTTCAGGACGGCTGATCCAGCGCTGATCTCCTCCAGACTGAACTGCTCCAGATCTCACTGTGTGTTCACAGTCCTCCTCTGATGTGCCGTTCCCTGGAGCCCAGTTCTGATAGCACACCGTCTCTCCACTCACCCAGAACCAGACGGCCAAAATGTGAGAGTAGTGTAAACCCAACCACACCGCCGCAGTAGACGCCCGTTTAACCACGTTCATCACACGATGCTGAATCTCTTCTGAATGAACCGAGACCAGATCCACATGATTCTGTCTGCAGTATCTCAGAGCTTCAGACCACGTCAGATTCTCTCTGATCACAATCAGTTTATCTGGAAACCAAACAAACCACAAGCAGAAACTAGAGAGAGACTGATCAAAAACAACATGCAGAACAAACACTGTGGATGAGTTTGTCATGTCAGACATGTAGCGGGAACTTTAAGAGATCTGGGCCCGTATTTATCAAGCTTCTCAAAGTGCCATTTTAGTCTTAAGTGCTGAGAATTCATTAAATGTACTCCTACTTTCAAACTTAAGTATAAAAGCAAGTTATCAAATTTCTTAAAGCTAAGAATCGCTCTTACTCTCGCAGTTATTTAAGACAGCTCGAGTGGTCTCTCAAGTGGTTAGGAGTTGCCAGTAGGGGCTTGTGATGGCGCTGAGGGGACAGACGTGAGCAAATCTTTCAGGAGAGGAAGAACGTTCTTGAAATATTTGACGACAAGGTTACATTTCCTCAGTTATTCAAACAGAAAATGAGCAAAGAATATTACATTACCAAAGAACATCATAACTGACTTCAGTCTAGCGCGAGTATTATATGCTCTTTAAAAACACTCCTGTTATAATCGGTGAAGCTACCTACACTGTATCATGAATAAATCTCTTACCCCTTATTTACACTGCACACGTCTGCGGTGCGTTACGGCTCCGACACGGCCACCGGAGCTGATCACGGCTACTCAGCAGTTTCTGAAGCGGCTCTACGCACTGCATCACTAAAGATAGGTGCCTATATTTTTCACGGATAATAATAATAATTGTCTTGCTGTCATCAAAGAAATCAGCAACAGGCAATACCTCTGACTATCGTCGATACACGCTACTATCGTCTACCGGCACAACCCTAAATTGAAGGTTAACATAAAGTATTCTCTTGAAAATTATTTGTTGTCAAATGTGTGTTGAATGTAAACTCCTATTAGGAATTGAACCATTCAGTGTGAATTTATCTGAGAATATTCTTAAATATGGAAATCTATTCAGTGATTTGTCCATGCGTATTTCGTCATCCAAAACCCGTTTGTGGCACAGCAAAGTGTCGTGAATCAACTCTAAAACTGACACTTAAGATTTAGTCCTACACTTCGCTTAAATTAAGACTGAGATGCTTGATAACTAACTTTTATGCGCAGCTTAGAGCCAATAATTTTTTTATACTTAAGTCAATTCTTAGCAGCGTTCTTGAGAGTAATTCTCAGAGGCTTGATAAATACGGGCCGAGGAGGTGATGGATGGATTGTGTGTATTTTGAGAGGATCTACTCACCTTCATGACACACAAAAGGAAATGTTTGGTTGCAAGAGAAGTCATGCCATTGTCCCTGATCGTTCAGTTGAACAGCTGTACAGTCTTCACCACGTCCATATTTATCAGGTTGACCAGACTTCCAGTATCTGAATGAGGAGTTACTCTGATCTGACCACTGCCATGAGTCTCTGACTCTGAACAGACCGATCCAGACATATGTTTCAGATGAGTGATTATCACTAATGATCTTCTTAACCTTCTCATTCTCATCCTGGTTTCTCACACTGACCAGATCAATATGATTCTGTGTGCAGTAACTCTGAGCCTCTCTCCAGTTTATCAGCTTATTGACAAAGACAAGTCCTGTGTTCGCTTTAAGAAAAACAAGTGGACAAATATTCATGAATCAGTGTGTTCATTATTCTTACGCTGCTTTATGGTTTGGATGTGAACAGGAGCAGCGGTGGAAACATCAGAAACACGTCACTCAAAGATTCAAGCTGCTTCTACAGCTGGTGATATATTGAATGTTCACAATATTTTCAGGATTGTTTTAAAGATCTGATATGAAGTAACATTGGGGAACATTGTGATGATTTTAAAGCTCTCTCTATTTATCCATTATGAATACTTGATTCAGACAGAAAGAGAAACATCAAACAGAGGACGATGTTACACTGCAGCTAAATATGCTATTAACTAATCCATAGAAACAATTACCTGGACTGTAGATTACTAATTTATAAATTAAGAGTTAATAAATTATTTGTTTTAATGGACTATCATGAACTAGACTTGAGTTCATGTACGAGTAAAACTAAGCTATTACAGGTTTGTATTGAGATACTGAAGACTGAAATAAACTATCACCTCTAGTCACTGCTGTATATATTTCTTATGAACATTACAGTTATGATGATTATGATTATTAACAACTAGTTCCATATCAGTGTCTTTTTCTCTCTGTGATTGTTTTCCTCTGTAGTCACTTTAACTACAGGTTCCTATTGTGACAAATTACCCCATAGTGTGAAGTCTTTTATTCTCTGGAAAATATTGTGTCTATACAGAAATTGTATTAACAATGAATGTGTGACAAATGTACAGTCACTTCTATATTCACAATCAAATTAAAATAGGGGTTAGTAGTACATTAAAATATACACATCTATAAATTACTGGTTGTTTGAATTTCTATAAATTAATTTTAAATAGCTGCACTCACTGTTGTTGCAGATAAAATGTCGGTAAGCACTACATGGCAAATCATGCCATTGTCCATTTAACATCATAGCACAATAATCTCTGCCTTCTGGTTGTCCAGTAGCCCAGTTCAGATAGAGCGCAGGTTCACCTGAAGACCACTGCCATTCATCACGACCCGTCTTCTGCAGCCCAATCCAGACAAACTGAAAACCTCCACCATTCACACTCTTCTTCAGCTCGTTCATGTCGTTCATGTTGTCAACGGTGGCCAGATCTGCGTAATTCTCTCTGCAGTGTTTCTGAGCTTCAGTCCAGGTCTTCCGCTCATTTATAAAGTGATGCTGACGCTGAACACATTCAGATACGGAGCAGAGAGCTGTGAAAGAGAGACTTTGCTTTAATGCTTTTCATAACAGACCTAATGAAACTATAAACCATGAATAAAACCACAAACACACTCACCAATGAGAAGAAGAATGAAATATAGAGTTTGCTCCATTTCTGAGGAAGAATAATACAGATAAACTCAGATTTTAAATATTCACTAATTCATTTTAGTGTAAAACATGATTTCAGTGATTTCCATCATAACAGGAACATAAATGTACTGTACACAAACATTAAGACAATATTAATATCTCAAAGTCTAATTTAAATAATGAGTATGTGAGTTGTTCTTACTTTAGAGGTTGAGTGTTTCTGTCCTGAGTCTGATGTTTCTGTCTGCAGCTTCAAACTATATGATTATTATATCTGCTCTCATCCGTCACTCAGCACGTCACTTCATTTGTTTATTAGTCTAAAACAAAAGCCCTTCTAATTTTTCTTCCTTATTCACAGGTATTTCCTTCTGTTTTTTTTGTTCTCTGTGTTGGTCTTTGTTGCTGTAATTCTTTGGAAGTGTGTTAATTTGAATGTGGTGGAGACGGAGAGTCTGCATGTTCTGTAATGAAGTATTGTATTTCAACAGCGGCTTCACGGGAAAAATCCACCTCAACATTTGCATTTGATATTGTCATTTGATATTGTCAGTGACCAACAGCATGTTTCTGCATCCCAAACTAAACAATATTTTCACAAAATTTGAACATATTCTGTGTCACCATTAGCACAGTATCTGTTGCGTCATGAGTGCTATCACACAGAGTAACAAAAACATGCAAAAAAATAAATAAATACAGCAGCAACAACACACTCAACTCTTTATTTATGGAAATCATAAGCACAGAGAACGTCCACATTATTTCACTATGTATGCAGGAGCACTGTTGCTCTCTTCATATAATGTCAACATCAGTAAATTGCATTCACGGGTGTTACAAATTATGCTTGCATTTGATTTAAATGCTACTTTACCCTCTTTCTCTCGTTTTCCTTGTTCTCCTTAATCTTTCTCTCTTTTTTTTCACTGATCTGCATGCATATGACTAGACATGGGGTCAAACCAGATAAAAAGTTTTCTTTTTAATACTAAAATTCATGTTCACATTCACCATTTTTACTCTGCAACAGCAGCAGAAGCTACATAATATAACACAAAAAGGTGCATATAGTGTAAATGTATTTACATATGAGGTACAAGAGCAGGAAACTAATCTAAAAATAGAAAATGAATGAAATTTTTAATTCACAGATAATGAAATATACACTCTCTGTTACTATGACAGCTGAGTTTAAAGCATCTCTGATGCAGTTGCATTTACATCAGCCAATCAGTGTTGTCTCCCAAAACGTACAGCTGTCCGTCAAGAGTGGCTGCCGCAGGTGAGAGGTGCGGTCGGAGCAGGACGGGGAAAGATGTCCAGGAGTCACGAGCGGGATCGTACGACTCGCACTGCAGCTGGTCTCCAAACCCCGCCCACATTGGCTGCAACCCCCCGGCCACAACCAATCGCTGTCCCGAAACCAGCATCACGTGACCTTCCCGTCCCGCTCCCTCTGTCATAGGTGCGCGTTTTGAGCAGCCGTGTACCGGGTCGTAGAGCCACAGACTCGGATAGCAGCGCAGGTGAGAGTTGCAACCGCCCGACACAAACATCTGTCCGTTCAACACGGCCGCGGCGTGACCACAGACAGGAGCGTCAAGAGGATGAGACCAGCTGTGATAGCAGGAGGAAAACAAACATTACAGGCTTGATATTTAAAGGGGTCTTATGATGCGATTTTAATTTTTCCTTTCTCTTTGGAGTGTTACAAGCTCTTGGTGCATAAAGAAGATCTGTAAAGTTGCAAAGACTAAAGTCTGAAATCCAAAGAGACATTCTTTATAAAAGTTAAGAGTCAACCACGCCTACCTAAAACGGCTCGTTCTAACACGCCCCCGCGCGTTTTGAGCAGCCGTGTACCGGGTCGTAGAGCCACAGACTCGGATAGCAGCGCAGGTGAGAGTTGCAACCGCCCGACACAAACATCTGTCCGTTCAACACGGCCGCGGCGTGACCACAGACAGGAGCGTCCAGAGGATGAGACCAGCTGTGATAGCAGGAGGAAAACAAACATTACAGGCTTGATATTTAAAGGGGTCATATGATGCGATTTTAATTTTTCCTTTCTCTTTGGAGTGTTACAAGCTCTTGGCGCATAAAGAAGATCCGTAAAGTTGCAAAGACTAAAGTCTCAAATCCAAAGAGATATTCTTTATAAAAGTTAAGAATCAACCACACCTACCTAAAACGGCTCGTTCTAGCACGCCCCCACATGTCTATGTCACTATGTGGAAATATTAGCATAATGCTGCCCAAATGTGCACGCA